TGAAAGGGTCACGAACTAACTTTAAAAATGGATTCTCCTTTAAAGGAGAAAAACATGGGAAATTGTGGCTTTCCCCTTGCAGGCTGTCAGAATTTCAGCCTGCAAGTGGCTGCTTGGGGCCCCCTATACCCCACACACTGTGGGACTGGGACCTGGAGGCAGCAGGTTGGAAGTGAGGAGCATGGTTCAGGACTGGCCATCAATGTTTACAAATGGGTCCTGGTACAAAAAAGGTTGAGAACCACTGGGCTAGGTGACAGCAACCATGAAATGATGGTTCAAAATACTAAAGGAAGGAAGGAAAGCAGCAAAATAAAAGCACTGGACTTCAGAAAAGCAAACTTTAGTAAACTTAGGGCAGTGGTTTTCAACATTTTTTCACAAAAATTCTGAATGGAGGTACGGACCACTTTGAATTGCAATTGGGGATATTCACACACTTTTTATTGATCAGTCATACTCCCACAGGCCATAGGGAGTTTTGGGGAGCTGTCATGGGCTGAGACAGCCCCTCCCTTCTCACCCCCACCACAGCAGTTCCCCAACCTTATGTGGGATGGGGCGGTGAGCGAGCAGGGAGCTGGGCATGAATGCAGGCAGCAGCTTCAACAGAAACTGCTCAGCTGGGGCCCCTCCCACCATCAGTGCCACCTCTAGGCCACCCTTCTACGCTGAGGAGAGGCTAGAGTGGATGCCCTGATCCCTAGTGGGAATCTGCTGGCTGTCCACAGTTGATGCTGGTGCAACCCCAGCGCTACTTCTGATGCATGGGGCAGGAGCTGATGTAAACCGAGGATGGGGTGTGCCTGCCTGCTCAGCACAACACAGCCACTGGCTCCCCGCAGGCTGGATCCCATGACTGGCCACCCACCTGCGGGCTGGATCCAGCCCACAGAGGTCTTTTGTCCACCCCTGCCTCAGGCAGTCTGCAGACCCCAAAAGGATCCAGGGACCACAGGATGAAAACGACTGACTTAGAAAATTGGAGGGCAAGGCCTCGTGCGAGGCAAGTCTGAAGCGAAAAGGAGCCCAGGAAAGCTGGTTGTACTTTAATGAGGTTGTATTAAGGGTTCAGGGACAAGCTATCCCAATGCAATGGAGGAATGGGAAGTGCAACAGAAGTCCAGACTGACTAGACAGCAATTTCTTCAATATGCTGAAACTCAAAAAGGAATCCTAAAAAGAAGTAGAAACTTGGTCATATTCTTACACTCTTCCCTAGTAATATCACATGGGCATGCAGAAAGAAAATTATGTAGCCCATGGTACGATTTGAGATGCAACTGGCAAGAGATATAGAATGCAATAAAGACAAGTATGTCAAAAGTAAAAAGACAACCAAAGAAACCATGAGTCCCTTACAGAGAGATGGACACGGTATCCCTGCATTCCAAGCAGACAACATTTGCATAGAGTCTTTTCTCTAATATTTAGCTCAACCTGTATCTACTTCTCCTGAAATTTGTCCAGCTTTTCCAACTCTGTCAGCCTAAAAAAAGGTATCACAAAAATAACCTTGCCCCTTTAATAACTTACAAGATACTCATGAAGATATGCTGAATGCCGATTTTCTTATAATGTTCTAGAAAAGAAATGGCAGAAGGGAAAAAAGTGTAAACAATTTGGTTTCCACTTCAACTTCATCCTTGCATCCACCCAGACCTAATTACAGTAAGAAATATAGATATAGCCAATATAAGCAGCATATGATCAGGAATACCATCCTTTTAAGAATTTTTATCCAAATAGTTTGCTTAGGTGAGAACAGTATTTTAGTAAACCAGAACCGCAAAAACTAGCTTCCAAGTCAGGTATTTGCTTTTTCTAAGAATCAAAAAACTGGTCAGGAGGGAATCAAAGTGCAGTGAACTCAAATGTAGCGTATATCTATAATCCAAATTAAATCAAAATAACTAGCATGGCATGCGTAGGCAGTCACATATCCACATTTATAATAGGACGGTAAATAAAAATTGTCACAGTAATGAATACTATAAACCAGTATTCCCCACAATTTCTAATTCTATGGCCTGTGCACCTTTGTCTGGTTACCAATCATCTGTTTTCTACCAGCTAATGATTTTCAGAACATTCTGGAAAATGGGTTTCACATCTCCAAAATAAATAATGCTCTAAGTTTGTTTTGCTTTTCTCAAAATGAAAAATAGGTTGTTTTTTTTTTAAGATTTGTCATTTCTTTAAATAGATGCCTTTCCCAGATACTGGAAAGAACTACAGTAAGTGGATACTGTCGCTTGTGAAAACTAAGTTACCTTAGACAGAACCAGCAGGAACATCTATTGTGTTCATGATGCAGAAAATTAGGTGAACTAGGACAATTCTCAGGTTTTTTAAAAGACAGAGATATGTATTACTGCAGTCAAGAACTAGGGCAGCAAAGATGGTCCCTGCCCCAAAGAGCTTACAGTATAGGCATAGTCTTGTGATACATTTTACAAGGAAAATGATTAAATCTGTATTAGCATGACCTGTATGCCATTTGAAACATGACCTACATGCCATTTTAACCAAATACTCTAGCATATAATAGAAGACAATTGTTTACATGTGCTCAGTTTTTCATTTTATTATGTGCCCACCAGATTACAGAATAGTTATAAGGATGGAACCAGTCCATTTAGACATAAACCTTAGCTAATATAGAATGTGGCAACCTTTGTTCAGCAACATCAACTACCACAGGCACAGTACATCTAACCTCTGGCAAGAGCTTCCCATAGAATATGTGAAATCCAGTGTCTCGGTCAATATTTTTCAAACATTCAATGTCTTGGATCAACGACAACAATCTGAAAAAAAAAGGAGAGCAGACAGCAGCTCCACTCCTGATATACAACCCAACAGCAGGATAAAGTTCATTTGCTGAGGAGAGATTTTGGATTTGAGGCTGGTTCAAGACTGTGGAAGAAAATGCCTGTATCATGCAAGAACTGCGTTTTACTGTAAAGCCTCCATCAATTAACTGCAAGGCTTTCACACTTTGTGTTCACTTTTGCTCACATATAGCGTCATCTGTATATACATTAAAACAAGCCATGAACATTTTCCTTGGGAAAGAAATAAAGAATAAACCACTTGTGACAGATGCCAAACACTCTGTTTAATCTATTTTTGCAGGAGATTCATTAACTACAAGGGGTGAGAATCAAACAAAAGGCCGAAGAAAAATACATAAAGATTTGGTCAGCGTGCTCAAAATGACATCCCATACAGGGGACGAAGGGGTGTGGGGGGTGTGCGTGTGTGTGTGTGTGGGGGGGGTGTGGTGGGGGGGGGGGGGGGGGGAGATATGTAATTTACATCATAATTTGTGAATACCTCAAATTTTACCTCTAATTAAAATTTTACAGCTACAGGAACTGTCAATGTTTAACAAATTACTTGTAAAAGACAAAAAGGGAAAGTGTTTCTCAATCTTAAGAATAGAAGTTCTGGCTCCAAATTGATGTAGCCAGGAAGGATAGGATAAATTAATCTCAAACACAAGTCCTCCAAATTAGCATATGAAATGCATCATGTTCAACCAGGAGCAGGGTTGTGAAAGAGAGACTCAAATATTAATCTTGTGCAAAAGCTTAACAAGGAGTATTTTATCATCAATACAAATGTAGTAACACTCTTCCCCATGTTAGCTTTAAGGATACAATATTCAATCAATGAGATATTACTTTCTTTTAAGAATGCGTACAGTGGTAGGCTACTAATTGCTGGCAAGGAAAATATAATTTCAAACTTTAAACAAAACTAGTTATATTTCTTAAATTATAAAAAAATGAAATCTGGCTACTGTACAAAATTTCAGTTCTAGCCTAAGAGAAAGGATGTTTTAATAGCTATGACTGCCACAAGTGAAAGATTTGCAAAAAATGCTGTATTCTAACACTCAGTTAATATCTCTTTAAGTAACTGTAGTATGCTAACAATGTGCACACATGCGTATTTCAGAAACACCCAGAAATGCTCCTAACTTGTATTCTTATCTATTTACTTACAAAAGCTCAACAAGATGACTACAATAGTATAAAATAGCTTTTGCACCCAATTCTCAAGTATTTTGCATCTTGGGCCTAACACATACACTCGAGTTGCACTGATTAACTAAAGGGAAAAGGAAGAACTAAACTAATTCAATTTAACATTCACCAACAACCTCAGGAAAAACACTGAAGTTTTAGATGTGGAAAATCAAGTTGTTTTTACTTTAGTAATGCTGGTACAAAATGATCCTTAAATTTAAATGGTAATGTTTTACTGCCAATTTGCATATAGGAACCAAACACCATAAAGGTGCAAAGGCTGCACGGAACTAGACCAACTTTCTTGCCTTTATAGAGGCCTGGATCTAATAGGTCTTTTTCCATCATTAGCTCCCTCCACTCCCAATCATAACAGCCTTTTTAAGTGAAACTGCCATACTACCCAAAACTAATAAAATCTACCTAGGACCTCATACCTGAGGTATCAAACTGATAATATCTATTTCTAAAAACAATTTTTATCTAGAATTTTTTAAAACTGAAAAAGTTTTAACAAAACCTTAACTAAAAATGTAAAAAACGTGTTTTTATACATTAAAATACTCAGTATTTCAACTTTGGTTAAGTACTGAAATCATAAGAGCAATAATTGTAAAAACTGAATAAAATTCCTTCCAAATTAAACATGGAGAACTTAGATATATTAGTTATCAGTAGTTTACATGTGAACAATTGATTATACAGGGAACTAACTCACTTACACAATAATATAGCAAAAGGCTTTAAAACAACCTACATGTAACGCAATTAATCGTTATGAAGGATACTTTAACAGTAATCATTAACATAACAGTCACAGTACTTCACAAGTGCACACGAACAAATGAGTGTTTGTTGGGTTTTTTTAATGTAACTGTTCTTCTGTAAAGCTTCCTTATTAATACCATTTGCAGTCTTTTATGAATAAATAAGCACAGATAAAGATTTGCCTTCTGCTTAATATTATTTTTCAAGGTTCAAAACGTTTATTTGAAGTTTAACAGAGGATATACTTCGTTGACAAACCTATAGTGATTAGATTTGTACAGGAAGAAGAAATAAGTAAACAGCATTTTTACAGCTCAATAAGGATGTATATAAAATTCAATGCTTTTGAAAAGTTGTATTAGCTTCAATCACTTGTCATAACATAAGTATTCATCATATGAATTGCAACTTGCAGCTCTATTTGCACACATTTACAATTAAACAAACATTAAGTTTTTTTCACACTCAACGTAAGAATTTTTAAGTATTGAGATGAATGAAAAAGATGCTACTTACAATTTAACAAAAAAGTTATTCCAGGCAGTATTTTTAATAACATTTCCAAATTCACTTGATTTGTTTTATATTTTATTGTGATCAAATAACTGCACACGTTTTACAGCATAGTCACATGTTTATATTTTGCTGAAGTCACAAACACATTGACTTACATAATGATGCTCATCATTTCTGCTCTACACTACAAAGCCTATTACTGAATACAAAAATGTTTAGGTTTTACAAAAGAAACTGTTTTAAAGACTACATTAACAATAAAACCGTTTTCCAGATAACAGCTAAAATTATAAAGGCAGATCACTGGATACCTGTACTAAATTTTCTAAACAGTAAGGAATGAAAGAAGGTTTTAATATCTGCGACGTTTGTTAGGTCCTTCAAAGTTGCCCCCTGGGTTTCCTCTACCAAAGCCACCAGGTCCACCACTCACGGCACCCACGCCACTCATTGGCGGCTGAGGAGTTTCAGAGCCTGCTCTACTAATCATAGGTGAACCCATCTGTGATGGACCTCCTTGAGGGAATCTCTCATTATGCTAATATACAACGAGTAAAGTCCATTTGGAACATGCCAAATTTAAGTTACAACAAAATTGGCAAAACCCAAGTGATGGTGTCATGAAGTTCAGCAGATAGTCCAGCAGAATCAGGATCCCACATAGAAGGAAGAAAGGAGCAATTAAATTAGTTATTATTTAAAAAGGTGTTGAAAATTAAAGCTTGCTAATACTGTGCTCCAACTTTCTGTAATTAAGACAAAATGTAAATAAAACTGAAATACAAGACCCATCCCCCACACAGATCATATCAGCAAACAGCTGGAATCTAATTTTAAACTGAACTCTACACAAAAATATGTATACTGTCAAAATATGTATACTATACAAAATATGTATAAATATAATTATATTTATTTGATGGGTGACAGAATACATATTTTTGAAATCTAGAAGGAAGCTATAAACATCATATATAAATGTTCCTGTACTTTAAACATATATGATAATGCTCCTGTATTCACTAGCTTGAATACGAAGGACTGTTAAAGAAAAAATGTAACTTGCAGCTTAAGTGCTTCCACAGGTTACCGACTACTGTCAAAGAAGATGAAATATCAAGGTTTCTTCAGACACCTGAAATATTTGTATCCAACTTTAACTGAAACCAGTGCTTTTACTGTCATTTAAACAAACAAACAAAAAAATCAATGACTAAAGCTCAGATGCATTTATTTTCAAGTGAATATTTTGCCTGAATATATCAATGTTTTACTATTTATCAAGTGAAGCATAATTATAAACAGCCCAAATTGAAATGCAGATTTAAGATTAAGATCCGACTGTATTCTGCATTATATGGCTTCTTTAGTACTAAAATTAAATATAGGCCATCACAAGTGTACTTAGGTACCACTACTGTTTTCTAAAATTTTCATTAATGTCCAAATTCTGCAAATACTTACACAGGCCTGAATACTAACAGTTAACCACAGGCCAGTGTTTGCAGAGTCAGTCTCTTATATCACTAATGTTTAAAAATCTCTCTACCCTTCCCTATATATAATGTGTAATATAAATTCAATATAATATATTAATTATATGGATCCAAAGTATATATTATTACATAGTTTGATCAGATTGTCAAAAGAATTCTGTATGCAATTATCAAAAGTGGCCCCACTTTCAAAAAACATCAGTTCCCATTCAGAAAAACTGGCTGGGTTTTCAAGTGTTTTGCTCAAATACTTTGAAAACCTTACCACCTTGTGTTTATGAGATCTTCTGAAAATATAGCTTCAAAGTAGGTGTTCAGTTGGGTGCCTCTAAAAATCTGATCACTAGTCATTAATTCTGTAGTGCAGAATTTTCATTTTTGAAGTTAACTATTCAGGAATGCAACAGCTCTAGATAAAACTGTTTAATTTAAAAATACTGACCAACTTTAACAAATCTTCTTTCCACTTAATATCAACCAACACTGAATAAGCCCTAGATGTGAAAGAATGGATTTCTTTATATACCCCAGCAACGTCTTCTTAGATTGCTGGTTTAATTCTTGGACAATCAAGCAAATGAATGGGCTACCAGTATTATTAACTAGATAGGGTAGAAGTTTAAGTAGGATATCTTAAAGCCATTTGTCCAGGGATAGTCTGGTTCTCAGATTTACTTGTTTAGGAAAAAAAAAAAATCATTCTACAAAAATGTGTGGAAGGTAAAGGAGATACTGATTTTTTAAATGAAATTACTACTACATGTCTCTATAAAAAATAAAAACTCTCATGAGTTGTAGTGAAAATCTAGGTGCATGTCCAATCTAAAAATGAAAATGAGAACAGGACTCTCCTCCCCTTCCTGGCAATCCCATTCTCCATTTCCTGCAATCAAATGGCAAATGCGCTAGTTGAGTTCTTTGGGAAATAACATATAGGCAATGTGTCAGTTAAATAGTTATTTCCACAGTGCAGACACTGGGGGTTGGGGGAGGGGGGGGGGGGGAGGGAACTAGAGTCCATGCAATGCCAAAAAAGGAACTATAGAATTGAGAGCACCAATATAGATCATCATCCATTTAATTTGTTTCTGACATCTGGAAGGGAACGAGTTTAAGTGTAAATAGGTTCTTCCTGTATATATGAGAAAACTAAAATGACCATTTCCAGATTAACAACATTGAGACGCCCAATATCACATTTTCTCCCCGCCCCCACCCATCCACCTTCAGTTGCAATTCAAAGCAACTACCAGAGAATGTTCTAGAGGTGATCTGAGCAAAGAAGCAGGGTTTTTCCACTGTTTCAACAAACAATCTTGCAAAACTGTAACTGATTTTTTCCACTTTCATTATTTAGCCTTAAGAAATAAGCTTGAGGATACTAACTGTAGCAAGTATACTTAAGCCAAAAACCATTTTAGCCAAAACAGGAGCCAAACCAGACCAGCAGTGCTGTAACGCGCAGCAAGACTTAAGTTGATGGTCGTGTATTCACTCTATACAATGGCTCTTTGGCTAATTTGACTCCTTGCAACACCATTTGTGGGAGATATGAAAGAAATGAGCTGGCTCCCAGAAAATGTGTTAGTAAAAGTCTTGTAACTGAAATAGGTTGCCTTCATTCTCACTACAAAAAGATTATTAAAGTCAAGGCATATTCTGTAGAAAAACTAAAATCTCAATCTCTTGTTCAAGCAAGCAAAGCAGCAAGCAATTTCATGAACACCTATAGTGGTTACCATATTGGCTTTTTTCTTTGAGGAAGAAGTCAAAGGAAAGCAGGGATTTGTGTTTCAGCATTCCAACAAAGCTATGCTCTTACTTTTCTACTCTTTACATCATATCACCACCAGAACACCCCAACAGAAGTATATTCACTCAAACAGAAAGCATATAAAAAAAATCAGACAGCTATTTCTCTACAGAAGACATCATAGCAAGGAAAAGGGGTGTATGGGTTGGTGGGCAAAATCAGTTTGCAACATCTATGCTCTGTATCCCATGGGTTATATCTACAAGAATTTCATTTCCGATGGTACAGTTACTATCATAACTTGTTTCAATGTGTTTATACACAGAAGTAACTGATTTTTAAAGAAGTAAATTACATGAAGATATCTTCACACTATATCACACTATATGGATTAATGGCGTTGCTCCCCTTAATCTATTACATAACTGTTTAACAATCTAATATGAAAGCAAATACGATTTAATCTGATAATCAACAGCATATCTAAGGCCTAATGTAATAGTGGTGAAATTTAACCTTACACAATACTTTGGTGCCATATTCTTTCTAAGTTTTATAATATGATGAAATACCTGTATGATAAAAAAATCTTTCCTGACAGGTTTTACAGACAGTTGTACTGTAACTGAGAGAAATTTTAGTACATGGCTAATTTTTAAAAAGCCCAGCAAACTTCTTGGAAGACTGGCACTCACCAAAAGCTTTAATTTAATTCAGGATATTCAATATTTCCAACTAATATCCTAGATAAATTTTCTGGATAAATATTACAGCAAAAAAACCTCCTGCTGTGGCATACATAATTTAAACAAAGATATCTTTTATGCGTTGCCTGTAACATACTACAAACTGTTTTCAACTTCCCAAAAATATTTTCCTGTGAGAGTAGTTTTTAAAAAATCTAGTAATATACTACCAATTAGCTTTCAGTGTGAAGATATCTTTGGTGAAAATAATGTCCCATGAGACATAATTGATAAAAGTAATTAAATTTGATAATGATACATTACCACTGCTCCATTATCTGGCATCATTGGTGTTCCCATATTTGCAGCTCCTTCTGGTCCCATGGAAGGACCAGGACCCATTGCAGGGCCAGGCAAAGTTCCTCTGTTGTTCATATTCATACCCATCATTGGAGGAGGACCTTGGCTACCAGCAGGTGCTGGGCTAAACGCATCTATGCAAAACAATCTATACTTAGAGCTGTCCTAACTTAATTTTACAAGCAAAAAAACCCCAATTTACAATATTTAAGAAACCAACCATTTAAGACCTCCATTACTTAAAATATAAGTTTTTATCTTTTGAGACTGTACATCTGCTGTGAAACATACTTCTATACTTAAATTTTTTAAAAAGTGCATTTTCAGAGCCTTCTTTATGTATGAAGATATTCTCTTCCCTTCACATAAGAATATCAAAGTTTACAATGAAATGTAGCTCTATTATATTTGCATGGAAGATTACTGAATGCTATTCCTAAGTTTTATACACACAATACATAAATTAAAAAATGCTTTAGTCACTATGCAGTAACATGCCAATTGTTACCTATAATGCACCTATTTTGGTATCAATTTAGGTATCTGTAATTATGTAGGAGTTGAAAATATTATAAATAATGTATTATCTGAAAAGGCAAAAGTAAAGATGGCACTTTAATCCATATTAAAAATAAATCAACTGCTATAAGAACAACTTAATGTTTAAATTATTTTTGAAAAACAGCTGTTACCAAAGTAACAGTTAGCAAACCAAATAGTGAAAGATTAAGAAAAGTTTAATAAAGATCTTTATAGATGGTATTTATAATGTTCAACCGATTCCAAATTAAAAATTGCACTTCACAATGCATTCTTCAAACTTTTGATTTACTGTTGGTACAGTAGAGATATAAAAAACAAATAAAAACAACACAAAAAACCACCATCACCATCACCAACCCCCCCCCCCCCCAAAAAAAAAAAAAAAAAAA